ATACATGTGTCTGTGAATATTTCCCACTCTCGAGATTGAATAACAAATGAATGTCCCCCCGAACATCTCATTTTCCCGAATTTAGAACGCACATTCAGTGTCATGTGCCAATGGGCTGCGCAAATTAGAACAATGCCCGTATACTGTTAAAAAAATAATCAGGTTTACCCAAGCGACATATCTCAATGCACCCTCCATCACTCCGCGACACAATAGCTCATCTCAAAAATAAAAAAGCAAGAGAATAAAAATGAAAAATGATGAATGAAAAAAAAATCAGGGAAAAGCGAGACGACGCCAACGGGTGTTGATGGGTGCCCGAGAGAGAGATGAAAAACTGGGGAAGGGGTGGGAAAAAAAAGGAAAACTAACAACTGAGGGAACAAGTCGTTGCAGTATCGTTGAAAACAATGTGGCGCGTCGTCGAGGAGTGGAGAGTACACACGAGTGATCCAAACCCCATCCCCTCGTACTTCCGCAACTCGCATTCTCACCTTCTGCACTGACGACTACACGATGCCTCTTCTTCATACACGACAACGGGGGCGGGAGGGGAGGGGGTATGCGTTTGGGGCGATGAATAGAGTTCCTGCATCTGTGCTGTTTGTCAACAGAACAGAACTCAAACGACGAACATTTTTCCTTCCCTTTATTACTTTCGAATATATTTTTCATTCTCGTATCTTCTCACCCCCCTCCCCCCCTACCCGGCCCCTCCCCCGCCGCCAGGCAGAAAAATTTCATTGTAAAATTTTTTTTTTCGCTTAACCAGTGGAGTTGGTAATTAATTGCCTCGTGTTAATCACCGGTCGTTTAATTCAAGCTGCTGTTCTGAGCCATGCAAAATTCCACAGAGTGCGGAAAGAAAAATATACCAAGGTGGGGGTAATTAGGAGGGCATCGCGCGGGCTTCACCGGCAGCCTTAGAAATTTTTTACTGCGGTTCATACAGACCCCAGTTTACACACTGGGATACCAAAGACGGAACATACTTTTCAGTGTTAACACGATGTGACACTGTATCCCGGTAACAAGGTTCTCATCGCCATCGCGTATCATGTTTTAATCCCTTGTGAGTTCTTTTTTTTTTTATTCAACTCTCGAGGGTGATGTTCTGGAAATTAAACATGGAACGGAGAATGTGGGGATTATTTCTGAACAGTTATTAATTTTTTGTGGAAAGACATGTTCGTTCATTATTTTAGGGTATAATTTTGTGCGAATTTTTTGCAGTGTTCAAGCATTCCACATTTTTTCTATCAATTGTTGATTTGTTTACTAAATCAAAAACCCGATGAAACACGAAATTTTGTGTTTCTAAAGAAATGCATCAGTGGAAATGACGAGGAGTCTCATGGCTAAACGAGGAATAAATACGACAGACATCTGCAATTGTGCGTGAAATTCCTGCTAAATTCACGACGACACACCCCAACGCCGCCATCTGGCCTCCAATCACACCATTTACCGACAAGTAAAATGATTTTTTTCCCCGCCCCTCCAAGACATTTGGTTTCTCAAACGGAAGTTTAGCTTCCAAGTTGAGACGTTACCGCAAAGCCCACCCACACATATGCACGTCTAACCCCCGGTACGATAAGTTTTATTCAAAAACGCCGCTTCAACAGACCCAACAAGATTGACAAACAAAGACTCCATTGCATCGATAAAAACGTCAGTACGAATATTCCATTAATAGAATACTTTCCTCCCCCCCGCTGAAAAACACATTCAATCTTTATTTTTTACCTCTCGTCGGGGGCATTCGCCAGATGAACGATGAAATAAAAATATGAACCACCCAGAAAAGATACATAAACCGACTGGTGAATAAACATTTTAATAAATGCTTCCACCATTATATAGCCCAAGGCTTTTTGAAAATAAAAAATCGTAAAAAAAATGTTGTGTGTATAACTGTCGACCCCGACGGTTGTACAGGTTCCCCCCCCCCCACTCCACCCCCTCCTCATTCTACTATTTTTTCATCGTGCGGAGTCTGGAGGTGGAGGGGTTGCGGCTATTTCACTCGCTCCATCCCAACCGCAGTTACTGTACCACCCCTCGAACGTAGCAGTTTTATTTTCCAGAAAATTAAAAGCAAATACTCGACCACCTGCCAACCGGATACCGATGTTTGTGAGGCTCAAATTGTATGAAATATATATTTTTCAAAAAACAGTTTTTTTACGGCTCAACAACAATTTTTCTTTTATTCCCTCTAGAATAATACGGGTATTTCCTACAATTTTTTTTTTGTGAAGAAATTACTGAAATTAATTGTTCGTTGCTAAGGAATTCCACGATT